AACAATTATGTCCTCTATGAATTACATGATGAGTGATGATGCAAATGAGAGATCACAATTATTATTCAGAGTGAAATCTGAGACCTTGAGCCATCTTATGACTGTCATATTATCATTTTTTAAATATACAATTAAAAAATCTCTATTCCTAATCAATGGTACCTTGACTCCTTATAATGAAATCAATCATTCTTCACCCAATACCCACTTGTATATTACTATGCACTCATGTGCTGTGTATATATGTTAAATGGTTTTAACTTAATTATTGAGTTATGTCTATAATTCACCATGTCACCTTCCTAACAATTAGAACTATCTAAAAATAGAATGGGGTGTCTTGTTAAGTAGTCATTGAACTTCTCCAAGGAAAGGTTGGATTGCCACTTGTCAGTGCTGTAAAAGGGATTTATGCTTCAGGTAAGAGTTGGATTAGAAGACCCCTGAGGTCTCTTCCAACTATAGTGACGTATGAATCTCTCTCTCTCTCTCTCTGCCTCTTTGTCTCTCTTTTTCCAAATATATAAGTGAATATGTATATATACAAACATACATGCAAACACATGCATGTTTAAGGGTAGGGCTCCACTGATTACTCCACTGCAGTGCTTAAAGGTAATTATTTTTCTTAAGTAAGAACACTTCCTCAATCATGAATGGGACCTGCATAACTCTTTGAATCAAAGCCAATATTCTATTTTGCATTGCTCTAAGGAATTTGCATAAAGAGGAGGAGGTCTTTCAGAATCAGTTAGAGGTTCTGAGGATCTAGAAGTAAAGAACAAGGAGTGGGTCATACAGAGCTGAGCCAGAAGAAAGAACTGGCAGTTCAGGGGCAACCAGTGAAAGGATAAAGAAAGGATTTCCCTTCTCTGACTGAGAAGGGAAATATTGAGAAGGGCCAACAGCCCTACAGGAATCTCAGAGCAGAAGACAAAGCTGAAGTCTTCTGCTCTGGGATCTGAAGTGCCTGCTGTAGGCTGAGAAAAGTTCTGAGAAAAGGTCTCCTCTTTCTCCATCTTCCTTTCTTAATACCTGATTTATCCACATGTAATATTATCTGCTGCTTTGTTACCCAAACATTTCTAGTAACCCGAACCTGAACCACAAAGAGACCAGGGGTTAAGTAGAGAGAGTTATGAATGTAAATTAAGATGGAGTGTGAAACCTCTGCCTGAATGCTATGAATTTCTCTAACTGGTAATTCAGAGTGATTGTGACTATATTCATAACTTTTTATATAAAACAAATTCCCTAAAATCTCAGAGAAGGAAACCAGATGCACCTAAGTGTTATTTTTTTGCCCTCTGGTTTAAAATGTGCTAGTTATTATAACAGGGTACTATACACAAGCATATATGTACATATATATGTATATATATAAAATGTGTGTATATACATGTGTATATACACATTCAGTAAAATCAGGGATTGGACTAGATGAAATTGCAACTTTGTCACTTGCTACCTATCTAACTTTGGACAAGTTACCATGTCTCTGGGTCTCAGTTTCTTATATGCAAAATTGTGGGAATAAATAGGCTAGTTGGACTCAGATTTCTTCAGTGCTATATGCTATTCTTCTAAATAAAAGAAACTTTTACCATGCCTTCAAGAGAAGCAAAATCGCTTTGAGTCTAAGCAAACAGTAGGTCATACATAAACCCAGGTGTTCAGGTGTAGAATGTAGAATATACATCATTGGAGTAGACCATACTTCATGGAACATGTGTCACAATAATCTGAGGTTCCCCTGGCCACTGCGTTGACTTTGGGGTAACACATAGCAATAGCCTGCACTCAGTGACATTATCAGGAAGGGGGGAGGTACTTTGAAGGGAACTGGCCATTAAGCCAGGGAGAGCTTGGACTGGCTGAGCCTTTCAACAAAGAAGAGACATTATCCTATAACTTTGTAAAACATCATTTATTGGTTGAATTTTTATAACTTTGCATTTGGGCATAATTATAATCTCCAGGCTCACCAACTATGGTAGGCTTGAAGGCCATGGAAGACAGTTAGTTGTTGAACTGTATAAGAGCTATACTGAGTAGACTGTACTGGGACTCTACGTGGCATTAAAGACTGTCACATGTGGGCCTTGTTGAGACTCTTTTAGTTCAAATCACTGGAGGAGGTACTTGTACAAATAATTTTTGAGCTCTGTAGCTCCCCAGAGAACTTTCCAAAATTGGAGATATAGACAAATGTGTCAACTGTGACCCACTTGATTTGCTGAGGACAACAACCTCTTAACTGTGATGAAGTAGAGCACATTCCATGGAGTATGCACGGATCTCATTTGACTCCCCATCACCACTTCCAGGGACACGTACTTAGTGACGAAAGAATCTGAGATTATGCAACAATCCCTTGGTCTCTGTGTTGGCTGCAGGGGTAGGGAGCTACATCAAAGAAGATTCATCAATGAGCCAAAGAACTGCTCCCTTAGTAGACTTTCAAAGTAGAAACACTTCTATTCTTGATCTCTCCTTTTTCTGTCCCCAACATGATGTAACAGGAATTGGCACATATATAGAAAGCATCAGTGAACTCAGCTGATACAAATTCTGTAGCTGGGAGATGTTGGAGCACCATCTTTGAGAAGGGTCGTGGTGATGTGGAATGAAAGTGCTTTGTAATGCCCTTGGAAAATGAGTAGACATTCCATAATAGTTAAAGTCTACTAATCACATGGTTAGGAAAAGACTTTTTGATTAGTCGTTTTTCTGGGAATTGGGGTGTTTTCAAAAAGGCCTTAGCAAGTCTTGTCAATTTCTCTTTCTGTTGATCTCTTATTCTTCAAATTAAATACTTCCTTATGAAAACTAATCGATATTAAGTGGTTGAACCAAACTGAGATGCTATTGACTAGCACCGAACAGTTGGAGGAACACAACTGGTCAAGGCTCAAGCTGATAGTGTTAAAGAGAGACAAATCCCCCCAACTCCTCAGACACTAGAATTGTGAAGGCCACATGTGACCACCCTGGTTCTGGGATAGTGAGTCAGAGAATGCTTGCTACAGTATAGTATGGAACTCTCTTTCTGGAACTTCCTATGAGAAGAGGAGAGGTGTTCCTTAATGCCCTGCAGTAACTACACACATGTCATTGATCACAGGAGCTACCTAGATGAGCCTGAGCATAGAGTTTGGGGGTTTGTACCAGGAATGTTAAACCACTCTTCCTGTCTTCCTTTTGCCCATCACAGATTCTCCTCATTTATTCTTTTCCTTTTAAGCACTTCTTTATGATACTCTGAGCACAGAATTGTTTTGGTTATGACAATTCCTCCCTGAATCTTCCCTCCCACTCATTCCACTCTCTCCCCCTTTCTTATTGAGTTGAATGTGTTTTTAAACCAAATTCTGTGTGTACAGATGTATGAATTCATGGTGTGTGTGTGTGTGTGTTCTACCTTCATTTGGTCAGTTTGGGTAAAAGTGAGATTCAAGTGATTTCTGGCTACCTGCAACCTTTCCTCCTTGCTTGCATAATTATGTATCCCAATGAGTTCCTCCACTTTTCCTCCCCTTTTCTTCCCTAATGTATTATTTCCCCCTTCCTTTTCCTTTCTTCTTTAAAGATCACTGAAACATAACAAAAGCATTTTCAGGCCCTTTGGCTTATGTAACTCCCTCTATGACCCATGATGAAGTTTCTGCAGGGAAACTTGTGTCATCTCTCCCTACTAGGATGTAAATTCATTATCCTTAATATTGTTCCTCACTCATATTTACTTTCTTATGTTTGTCTTGACTCCTTTGTTTGCATTTCAAAGTTTCCACTCAGCTCTGATCTTTTCATCAAGATTGTTCAGAAGAACTTTTCATTAAAGAATTTCATTAAAGGTACATTTTTCCTCTGTCAGAGTAGAATCAGTTTTTTTCTAAGTTATTCATAATTGTATGTTTATGTTTTTTGCTTTTTGGAATATCATATTCCAACTTCTCTGTTCTTTTACATTAATGTACACTAAATCTTGTGTGGTCCTGACTGACTCCTTGGTATGTGACCAATTCCATATTGGCTACTTGCTGCATTTTCACTTTGACCTAGAAGTTCTGAATGCATTCCTAGGGATTTTCATTTTGAGATTTATTTCAGGAGGTGACTGGTGGGTTCTTTCTACCTTCACTTTGCCCCCAGTTTTAATAGATTTGGGTGGTTTTCTGTTCTTATTTCTCAAAATAGGATATTTAAACTTTTTTTTTGGTTCTGGTTTTCGGGTAGGCCAATGATTCTTAAACTCTCCTTGATTTAAATCTCCTTGATTAGTTTTTAAGGGTGTTATTTTCATATGCTATTTATTAAATTTTCTTCTTTCATAAATCTTTTGATTTTTCTTAAGTATTTTTTTCTTTTCTCCTGGAATATTAACTTCTTTTCAATCCCTTTTAATTTTCAAAAACTTTGTTATTTGGGTAAAATGTACCTTTTGAACTAAGCTGTTAATTTTTTTCCAATTCTTTTATCCAAATCTGTCATTCCTTTCCCAATTTTTACTCTAGATCTCTCATTACATTTATATCATTTCAAAATATCTTTTAAAAAAATTTTAATTTCCATTCTTTCAGGAATTTTAGGTGGCCTTGTGGCCAAGCTGTTTTTCTTTGTGCCTTTGCTTGTAGAGGTTATGAATATACTTACTTTTTCTGAATTTGTATTTTGGGCATTTATGGCACCATAAGAAATTTCTTCAAACTTTACTTCTTGAATTGGTACCTTTACTTAGGACCAAGTATTACATAGTTCTGGAGGGAAATTAGGGCCTGGATTTGTATTCTGATCTGAATTTGCATTCCTTGGGATCCCAATGCTGCTTTCTTCAGGTATTAAGTGCTGTGTTCTTCAGGAATCTCAGGGGTAGATCAGGTTAAGGACCAGCAAACTTTCAATGTGCCCTAAGTGGTCTGATGTAGTGTGAAGTGTGCTTGCTGCCCTCCTTGTCTAGGCTTTGCAAGCTCCTGAGCCCAATTTGGGTCTGACCAACATACCTGCAGGCTTATTCCTGGTTGAAACACCAGTAGTCTTCTGCTGGTGGACAGTCCTCAGCTAGCTAGAAGCATCTGCCAATTCAGAGAGAGAGAGAGAGAGAGAGAGAGAGAGAGAGAGAGAGAGAGAGAGAGAGAGAGAGAGAGAGTGAGAGAGAGAATTGAGGCTTTCCTTGTTCTGAGTTCTTATCCTTCAATGCTGGCTATATCCATGTACAATTATAGAATTTAGGACTACTGTTTCAGCTGCAGTGTCATTTCCAGAAAGTCATTTAAAACAAACCAAAAAATTACATGAATATATATCTTAAAGCTGTGATGAAACTTTTTTCAGGAGCCCTCCTCCAAGTGAATGGGTGATAATAATTATTACAAACTCAAAGGCATTGAATTTAAGCAAGGGCTGAATTTAACTTGTCCTTCTGAATTTGTCCTTTTCTAAAGACAGGAAAGTCTCTTCTCTAACCCAAGTAATTCTATCCCTCCAGATGGCTTTGAAGGTAAACTAAGTTCTGAAGATAGCCTCTAGTAAAATTTAGAAGACACTTAAATTACCAGACTGGAAGGCTCAAGAAAACTTCAGAGCCCAAAACACAGTTTACTGTAATTATCTTTAAGGCATAGTTTTTTAACAACACAGGGCATGCTGAAATTGTTCTCTTCTTGCTAATAGCCACTGGCTGTTTACAATCTAATCTTCCAGGAGTGGAGGGTGCCTCACATAAGAAACTATCATATCTAGAGGCATCATGCAGAAGCATGAAGGTCAATCTGAGCCCCCTTTACTCTGCCTGCCTGTCTTTTATTTCAATGGTCCCCTAAGGATGGTTGGTCACCTGAACCAAGTCCTTTAGAATATCTCAATGCCTTTTTAGGAAAAAGTAGCTTAACCTGATTGTAGGGAGGAAGGAGTGTTAGAAATTTGCTCCTATCAATATCCTTCCGCTGCTGAAGTGAGTGACAGAGAAGATAGTGCAGGGTCTGAAGGATCACAGAGCTCTTTGGACTATCTATCAACATTAACCAGACTGTTGGTACTCTAAAGATGAAATAATGGTCCAGTTACCAATGAGTAGACATACTCCTGGAGAAGCTAGGTGTACAGTAGGGAGAGCACTAGGCCTGGAATCAGAAAGATCTGATTCTAAATCTGGCCTCAGTGGCTCACTAGCTGGGTAACTGAGCAATTCACTTAATCCCTATTTCCCTTAGTTCCTCATCTATAAAATGGGGACACACTGGAAAAAATGGAACTCCGGTATCTTTGCCAGGAAAACCTCATGGACAAAGTCCATGGAGTCATGTAGAATTGGACATGACTGAACACCAAACAATAACACAACAAACACATACTTCTGGAGAAAATGAATAATGTCAGTTGACATTCTCAGTGTGAAAGAACTCAGAAGGTGGAAAAACTTTGAGCTGAATAGAAAGGTGGCTCACAGGTTTTCCTTGCAGACTTGAATAGAAGAATTGAAAGAGGTGGTTTTCTTGTTTATCCAAAAGCAACTCCAAGCATTATTTTGTGGGATGCATTCATTTTGTATTTCAGAGCTAAGAGTGAGCGTTTGTAAAAAGAACAATATGAGCATATTTGTAGTTTATGAATGAGAGGAGTAGGTAATTTAATCCCATGGAAAATTTGATAAGACCCTCCAAATTAAACCAACATGTACTTTAATACTTAATGGCTCTGCAAAGTTCCTGATGATCACCCAAGGGAGGACAGTTAAAAATACATTTAAAAAATTGGTTCAACAGCAAGAAACCAAGAAGACCTTTATTTTATAGCCAATGAAGAAATCTCAGACCTGCATATTGTGAATTATTTCTTAAAGAAAAGAATGGAAAATGTTAGACATGGAAAGCACAGAACAAGATTACAAAAAATCAAATTGATTATATTTCAACAGACAAAAAAGAACTGGTTATCAATGTGGGAGCCATTTCCAAATCAGCTGTCTCAGTACAGTTAAACCATTAAGTTATTAAAGGAAAGTTCAAGATCATACCAAACTAAAAGAGAGAATAAAAAATGAAAAGGTTTGGCTTGCTGAGGCAAGTCCCATCTGACCTGTTTAAATAAGCTACGTATGCTGAAAAATGATAAATGAGTGAAAAAAAGATATTATTTCCTAAAGAAGTTTAACTGATGAAAATCAATCACAGTCCCTGGTGACCTCTATGAAAAGCAGAAATAGGACTGAAGAAAAATAAAAGATGTGGAGCATACACTGAAGTATTTTGGAGGTGACATCATTTTGAGGTCATCAAGGGAGCAATTCTCAAGATCTTAGTGTCACATGGAATGCTAGAGTATCTAAAAAATGAAAGCTTCACAGGGCAGCTAGGTGGCACAGTGGATAGAGCTTCAGCCTTGGAGTTAGGAGGACCTGAGTTCAAATCCGGCCTCAGATACCTGACACTTACTAGCTGCATGACTTTGGGCAAGTCTCTTAACCAAAGATTGCTTAACCAAAAAGAAAAAAAAAGAAAAAAAAAGAAAGAAAGCTTCAAGCCAGTACAACACCAGTGGGGACATGGACAGTGTGACATACTTGCCTGCAAAGAACTACTCACAAGAAGCATGAAGGAGATCTGAGATATATATGACTGGAAGAGTTCTTGTAGGACATCAAAGTACAACCCATATTGTCAACTGGTATCCTAGCATTGTCAAAAGATATACAGCAAAATTCCCAGCATGTTGAGTAGACCCCTAGTTGAGGATATATAAGAGGACATGGATAAGATTTGAACATGATGCTAGGCATGAGAAGGGATGAATGGGTTTTGATCTGTATCAATGGAGGGACTATCTGTATCCATGAGATCACAGATCCATGGAAACCTGTATGTATGTACATACATACATATACACAGAGACACACACATGTATGTATACATATACTTCTGTATATATACACATATGTACATATATACATACAATATGTGAACATACCTTTCCTATCTATCATCTATCTATCTATCTATCTATCTATCTATCTATCTATCTATCTATCTTTCAACATGTATCTAAAGAAGGTACTATGACTCTTTCTGCTCTCAAAGGCAGAAATACTATTTTTCTTCCTATAAAAAGCCAGCAATGTTCTTGCCATGAGGAAGTTGGAAAAGGTTATCAATCTTTTGGATCTGTTCTACTTACCTGTTTCTTTGATTTTCACAGACCATTGAAAGGAATGATGGCAGGTTGGGAAGAGTCTCCTAACCATAGTTTTACCTAACTTCTTGGTTGTTTTGCTAAGTAGAGGCACTCAGAATTATTTTTCCAGGAGCAGGAGTTGAAAGAAATTAAAGGAATTTTTTTGACCTGAACTCAGATAAGAATTAATCTTGAATGACAACAAAAGAGGCAAAATGTTGAAAAAAAAACAGATTTAAACATTTCAAAGGTCAAGCTAACTGGGTGTGGCAAGATGGATCTACATCTTAAATGAGTTGAGCATAGCCCTAGGAATAGAAGCTAGGAAGTAAAAAGACTCTTTCCTAGGTAGCAAGAAGCCACCAAGATTATATTCCATTCCATTCAACAAAATTTTAGCAAGTGCATCTTATACACAAGACATTGCTCTGAGTACTAGGGATGCAAAGAGAAAAAAAACAAACCAAAAAATAAACAATCCTTTCTCTCAAGGACTAACATTCTGCATTTAGTATCTCATATTCCCCCAAGGATAATCACCAATTCTGCTAACAACTTTATAGGCTCACAAGGCTCAGAACATAAAGAAGTTCAGTTATAAATTAATGGAAAGAGAATAGACTTATATAGAAGTCTAACAAGAAGTAATGATACTCACCAATGAGGAACTCTTCCTCCTGAGACCTGCAAAGTCCTTGTGACTTACAGTACGGCCCTGGATAGAGCTCCAGTAAAGGACATTTAGTGTTTGGGTTTCCACATTTTCATTTCTCTTTACAATCCTGCTCTCTCGGTGCAGTATATTGATAGTTTCCTGCAATCTTTGTAGGCCCCCTACTACATTCAGCAGTCCTCATTTTCTGCTCCCTGTTGTTGCTCCTTGTTCCACAGCTCTCCTTCTTGAAGATCTCTGGCTCCCAGCCTTGTAGTCAGCCCCTTTGATATGCTTTGTTCTGTCATTTGCCTCAAATTCCAAAAGATGGTGCTAACTTCTTTCCCCAGGAGAATAGCTCTTCCAATAACTGGCCTAATAGGGAAAGAATGTTCTGAGTATATTTTAAGCTCAAAAGCACAGCACCAGTAGCTATAAGCTCTCCTTTGTCCACAGTCCCCACAGTCCCAGTTCTCACATACAAGGGCTGTCTTCCAGCTACAGGAATGTCATTCCATTGCATTTCGTAATTAGTACTCTGTCTCCAGCCCTAAGTAGGCTCATGCAGACTCATGCCTGTTTGCCTATTCTCTCCCCCAGCATTGTGTCTTCTCAAAGGGTCCAGAGGTTCAGGGAGAGCACTCTGTTTTCTCCCTGGTTGTCTTTCCTCTGTGCAATTAGCAGGACTATTCAAATTAGAAGGAGCTATCCAGGATCTTTTAAAAAATAACTATACTTCAGACAGCCCAACATACTGCACAGACAATGAACTGAAGGAGTCTTTAATCCACGGCTGAGGTAATGTTCACCTTTCAGTTTATGGAACTATAGTCTTGGAAAAGCAGGTAGAAATCAAGAGGATATTGATATGTTCAATGAGACAAGCATCATTTCTGATAAGAATATAGAATCAACCATGAAAAGTTGCAGAATCATAGGAATCTTATTGTCTGACTGGGCCTTTTTCTAGAAATATAGTTGGGCTGCTCCAGAAGAAGAACTGAACCAGAGGAACAAACATTCTCCATACATTAGGTTCCCACTTAGTTGAAAGTAGACCATTGGAAGGAGGAGTTGGAGCAAGAGATGTTTTCTTTTTACTATCACCAATTATCATACTTGGCTTTCTCTACAACTGGAATTCTAGTCAAAGTTCAGTCTCTAATTAGTGTAATCTTGGACAAAATGTCACTTTGACTCTTGGAGTCTCAACTAATCTGTAAAATGAGGGTGGACTACATGACTCACAAGGTTCCTTTAAACATTTATACTAGTTGAGCCTGATATTTTTTGTTATCTTTGACATACTGGCTATAGGTTGCTGACCAATTAATATAATTCATACAAGACTCTTTGTTGGAGGTACACTGTGTGCACAGCACTATTTTAGGATGAAACTTTGCATAGCTAAGCAGTGACTCACCAGCAGGGGAGAGTGGCAGGAAAACTGGATTTACACATATATTTACAGTTAGCTTTGTAAAATCCATCTTGGTCTTCTGGGGCTTCTTAGTACATTGGAAACATGGATCACATAAAGTAGGTTTGCTGTAACCTTTTGTCAACTTCTCAGCAATAGCTCCCCAGGTAGAGGGGGAAAAAGCCTAGTTTGGCCTTCTGTAATATTCTTGGTTGTGTACTATGCCAAGATGGAAACCTAGGTTGGGAATGACATGTGCTAGACTGTTGGCAGTAGAGGAATGGGAGTTCAGTTCACAGATAGCATCCTTTTTCCCCAGCCTGCTACTCCTGCCCAAGCATCAGGAAGAGGAGGAGAGGTGACCTGGACTCCTGAAGGTGACAGCATAGGCAGTAGCTAGGAGGTTGCCTGGAATGCTAGCTTCTGCACCATTTGCTCTTGAGACTGGTGTCTCAATAGCAGGTGTGACTGACATCTAGAGCACTAGAATGTGGATCAGATGCAATTACAGAATGTTAGAGCAAAAAGAACATTAGAGATCAACTAATCGAATACCAGGGCAACTAGGTTGCACATTGGATAGAGTTCTGGTTTTGGAGTCAAGAAGACCTGAATTCAAACCCTGTCTCAAACACTTATTAGCTGTGTGACCCTGGGCAAGTCACTTAACCTTGTTTGCCTAAGGTTCCTCCTCTGTAAAATGAGCTGGAGAAGGAAATGGCAAACCATGCCAGTATCTTTGCCAAGAAAACCCTAAATTGAGTAATGAAGAGTTGGACACAACTGAAAATGACTAAACAACAAGAATCTAATGACTTAATTTTATAAATCAGTCAGCTAAGTCCCAGAAAGTTTGAGGACATACAGCTAGGTGGAAAAGTTAGGGGGTATGGTGGATAGAGCACTTAGAGCCAGAAAGTTCTGAATTCAAATCTGGTTTCAGATACTGGCTTTGTGACCTTGAGCAAGCCACTTAACCTCTGTTTACTGCAGTTTCCTTATCTGTAAAATAAGGATAATAATAGAACCTACCTTCCAGGACTGTCATAAGGATCAAATGAGCCAATATTTGTAAAATGCTATATTAAAACTATCATCATCATCATCATCATCCAGCTAAATAATTGCACACTAAATAGTTCCACAGCTAGGACTAGATGCTCAGCCTGCTGAAATGTAATTCGGTATTTCTACCCTGCTACCTGGATTCTTTTTTGCATGCATGCATATATAAATGATATGTATGTCTAACACCCCTAATCTGCTAGCTGATTTTAGGCATTCTTGGCCAACCTACTTAATTTCTTGCCTTGTGACAGAAGGATAGGTGTGTCAGCTACCTGCTCTGGAGGTTAGGATTAATGTCACTTGAAACCATTTTGATTATTATTGCTAGTAATTCACATATATCAAGCAGTAATGATACAACAGATCTTGTACATATTTCAAGATTACACAAGCACTCTGAGTGGACTCTGGATTTGAGCTAGGAGTTTGCTGACTTCTGTCAGCAAATAAGTGTTTCTCTGAAGAAGCAAGGACAAAAAAAATCCTAAACCAGCTGAGCTTTGATGGCCCAGAGGCTTGGGAGCCAGATTAGTATAATGATTATAATTATTACACTTTGCATCATAGTGTGACTTTTATTCTTTTTCAATGGGTAATAATTTCATATGCATTATTGTTAGAGTCATAATGAGAAGGAAGAATGAGGCCCCTCTCTGGCTTTATAATCCTCTTGAGGTAGCATAGTATGGTGGGAAAAGTTTCTGAGTTCTAGTACTGATTTTGCCACTAACTAGTTCTGTGACTTTGTGCTGGTCAGTTAAGCTCTCTGGGACTCGTTTTTTTCTTATTTGTGAAAAAAAAAAACAAGGGCAGTAGGAAACTTTGGGATACATAACAGCCCCCATTCCCCCAAGAAAGTTTGCAAATTCCAAACCCCTTAGAACAGTACCAGAAATCTGGGTGGCTGGGTCTGTGTGTTGGGTGGGGTGGATGGGGGTGGCAGGAGTAAGCAGAAGGTCATGAAGTAGTGGGAAAGAGAGGTTCACAAAACTAAAAAATATTTACATTAGAAGAATTAGGAGAAAGGTAGGGGCTCCAGAGAAGGAATCAATGATAGGCTTTTGGCACATTGGAGTATAGAAGAAAAGATACTTTTACTTTTTTTCTTTGTAAATCAACTAGCATTTATTAAGCATCTACTAGATGCTATCACTGTGCTAAATGCTGGGAAGATACAAAAAAAAGTTGTCAGCCTGATTGACTGGAAAGATGGCTGTACCTTCCACAATAATAGGAAGTTGGGAAGAGAAGAGGGATTGTGTATGCATGTGTAAGGGAAGGATAATGGGTCCAGTTTTGGACATCTTGAATTTAAGTTTTCTACAGGATATTAAATTTGAGATATCCAGTAGACAGCTGGAGATAGGAGACTGTGGGTTGGGAAAAAGGTGAGGGCTGGACAAACAGATCTGAGAGTCATTTGCATAGAGATGATATTGAAACTATGGGAATTGGCAAAATCACAAGTGGAATAGTACAGAGGGGGGAAGAGAAAAAGGCTCCAGACAGAGCCCTGGGGTATACCCAGATTAATGGGCATGGCCTGGGTAAAGATCCTGCAAAGAAGACAGAGGAGAGGACAAACAGGCAGGAGGAGAACCAGGAGATAACAGTGTTATGAAAACTCAAAGAGAATATCAAGGAGAAAAAGTGTGATCAATAGTGTCAAAGATTTCAGAGAGATGAAGGATAAAAACTGAAAAAGGGACACTAGATTTGGCAATTAAGTAATTATCAGTAATTTTAAAGACAGCAGTTCCTGTTGAATGATGGGGTCAACATTTCTGTTGAATGATGAGGTCATACTGCAAAGAGCTGAGAGAGCTAGAGGAAAGGAAGTGGATACATCAATTGGAGATGGCTTTCTCAAGGAGTTTATCCACAAAAGAAGAGAGACATTGGACAATAACTATTAAGATGCCCAACAGTTTCAATATTAGGATGGTTCAGAAGAGTGTTTTTTTCAGGATGAGGGAGACAGGTGTATCTGCAGCAGAAAAAAAGCAACAAGTAGACAAAGAGCAATTTAAGATTAGTAAGAGAATAGGGATGATAGAGGGAGCAATCTGTTAGAGAAGACAGAAAGAATGGGTTCACTAGTGCACATAGAAAAGTTTGCCACCTCTTTGTGTGAGAAGGACCACCTCACATCTATCAGATTAACTAATATGACAAAAAAGGAAAATGATAAATGTTGGAGAAGATGTGAGAAAATTGGAACACTAATGGACTGTTTTGGTGGAGTTGGGAACTGATCCAACCATTCTGGAGAACAATTTGGAACTATGTCTAAAGGGCTATAAAACTGTGCATACCCTTTGATCCAGCAATAGCACTACTAGGTCTGTATCCCAAAGAGACCACAAAAAAGGGGAAAAGACCCGCATGTACAAAAATATTTATAGCAACTCTTTTTGTGGTGGCAAAGAATTGGAAATTGAGGGGATTCCCATCATTGGAGAATGGCTTGAACAAATTATGTTATATGGATGTGATGGAATACTATTGTGCAATAAGAAATGATGAACAGGCAGATTTCAGAAAATCCTGGAAAGACTTACATGAATTGATGCTGAGTGAAGTGAGCAGAACCAGGAGAATATTGTACACAGTAACAGCAACATTGTGCGATGACCATCTTTGATAGACTTAGTTCTTCTTAGCAATGCAAGGATCTAAGACAAGTCCAAAGGATTCATAACGGAAAATGCTATCCACATTCAGAGAAAGAATCAGGGAGTCTGAATATCGATCGAAGCATACTATTTTCTCTCTCTCTTTTTTTCTTTCTTGTGGGTTTTTTGCCCTTTGTTCTTATTCTTCCTTTACAACATGACTAATATGGAAATGTTTAATTTGATTGTATATGTATATCCCATACCAGATTGCTTTCTGTCTTGGAAAGGGGAAGGGGGAGGGGGTGAGGCAGAAAAAATTT